ATTGTTTAGCCAAATGTGATAAAATGTTTTGTTGCTGTACACAGCATTTTACTGTACTATCATTGATTATCATCTTTAAGTGCTGTCAAGTTGATTCAGAGTTCTGGCACCCATATGTATAGTATTTCTTCCAGAATGTTCTGTCTACTGTTTGGCTCTTTCAGCTTCTTAATGGCTTGTTCGTAATTCCTCTGTTGGTCTCCGATCTTATTGTTGGCCGTCCTCTTCCTCTTTTACTTTCAACTGTTCCAAGCATAATTATTTTGGAATAAATACATCATAAAAATGGTACCCGTTAGTAGGGTGTAATAAATAAGTTTCCTATAAGCTTAAAGCAAAGTGTCATTTTTGAAAAAAGGGCAATTGAAAAACAGTTGTTTTTCAATGTTTTATAATGTATAATGTCCAAATAAAAACTAATTTTTAAAAATATATTTCAATGTTAAGGGCTAAAACTGTTACTACATTGGTTTCACTTTACATTTACATTTAACCGCATTTAGCAGATACTTTTATCCAGAGCGACTTACAAAAGTGCTTTGTTGTCCACTCAGAGAATGCATCCTAGCTAGTACAAATAGGTTCCAGGTTCCAAAGAGGTTCTAGGAGTACAAACTGCCCTTGAGCTCAGACACTGCCATAGTTTAGTGTTCACTTAAGTGCTTCACGAAGAGATGGGTCTCCAGTCACCATTTTATAGCAAGGAGGCAGCAAAGGAAGTTAGTTCCACCACCTAGATGCCAGAACATAGAAGAGTCCTGATGCTTATCTCCTACGAAGACAAGGTGGCCTGAAAGATGGTGGGTCAAACCAAGCTGTACTTGAAGCTTGTAGGGCTTGAGGTACGGATCGAGTTTTGACTATTTCCATTGGGTAGGAAGGGACTGGTCTGTTTTTGGCTTTGTAGGCAACCAGCAGGGTTTTAAATCTGATGCGGGTAGCAGGAAGCCAGGGAAGTGAACGCAGCAGTGGGGTGAAATGAGAGAACTTAGGAAGGTTGTAGGCAAGCCATGCTGCTGCATTTTTGATCATATGCAAGAACATGATGGCCCACATAGGAAGACCAGCCTGGAGCAAGCTTTGATAGTCAAGCCATGAGATGACACTGAGCCATGAGCCTGATACTGGAAAAGGCAGTTGACATGGCAGTGCAAATCTTGAATGCTTTTACAAAGAAGGAGCCAGCATTAAAGATCGGGGACAGTATTCTCTACAAGGAGGCCAAATACAAGCTGGAGAAAAGGGTTAAAGCAGCAAAGAAGAAATACTCATAAAAGCTGAAAAGCTAAAGATAGTCAGGAAGGGCCTTAAAGATTATCAACTACAAGGTGAGAAAGACTCCTCTTGAATGACCGCCAGCTTACCAACGACATGAATGAGTTCTACTGCAGGTTTGAATACACAAAAGACATTCTTCTCTCCCTTTCTCTCCCAGCCATCCACACTCCTCCCTCACCCTAGATCTCTCACCTCTGCCCACCCCCCCCACATCAATGAGCAGGATGTTAACTCTGTTCCCACATGCTTCAAAACATCCACCATCATTCCTGTCTCTGAAAAAACAAACATCACTGGACTAAATGACTACAGCCCAACCTGACCTCTGTAGTCATTAAGCTCTTTGAACACCTGGTTCAAGTCCACCTAAAAACCATTACCCTCTGCTGGATTCCCTGCAGCTTGCATACAGAACTAACAGGTCTGTCAATGACAACGACCTAACAGGTCTGTCAACTTGCCCCTGCATTTCATGCTCCAACCTCTCGACAGTCCTGGAACCTATGCTAGAGTTCTGTTTGTGGACTTTAGCTCAACATTCAACACATTAGTGCCAGAGCTGCTCCAGGTCAAACTGTCCCAGCTGTCTGTGCTGGATCCCATCTGCAAGTGAATCATGGATTTCCTGACAAACTGAAAAAAGCAGGTGCAGCTAGGAAAACACGTTGGGCCCCTGGATCCTCAGTATTTGAGTACTACAAGGTTGTGTGCTCTCACCCCTTCTCCTCAGTTTCTATACCAATCACTGTGTCTCTAAGGAACCAGCTGTGAAGATCCTGAAGTTTGCAGATGACACCACTGTAGTGGTCCTCATAGCCAACAGGGATGAGTCTGCCTACAGAAAAGTTGAGCAGCTGGTCTCATGGTACAGCACCAGCCACCTGCTCCAGGTGCAGGCTTTAGGTGCAGCCTTACCTCCCTACCCCCCCACCCGTCCCCCTCACTATCAATGGCTCCGTGGTATTCACTGTGGTGTCACTTAAGTTCCTGGGCACCACCATATCCAGGGATTTGAAGTGGGAGAGGAACACAGTCTCCATCGCCAAGAAAGCACAGCAAAGAATGTTCTTCCTGAGAGAAGAAGAAATTTAACCCTGCCACAGAGTACACAGCGATCACTGAGTTCATCCTCACAACAACCATAGCCAAACTCCAACGCATAATCAGGACAGCGAAGAGGATCAATAGATGTAGTCTGCCAACACTTTAGGACTTCTACAACAGCATGGTGGTGAAACGTGTCAGCACAATAACAGCTGACTCATCTCATCGTGGACATCAACTCTTCCAGCCACTTCCCTTTGGCAGAAGATTCAGGGATATCAAAGCCAGCACAACCAGATATGTTAACAACTTTTTCCACAGAGCTATAGCGCTCATCAACCACAGTGGACACTTAAACACTGAACCAACAAACTTCCCTTACAATATTACAGTATATATAACCAAGTCTGTGTATTATGTAATTAGGGCTCAATCAATTAGAATCAATACTTTTAATATATAAAATATCTAAAATGTCTACTTGGCCTGCATACGTACAGATATCCACACATCTCATATGTAGAGATATCCCATATCTCCTGAGCTCCTTTCACATTAGCTGTTTTTTATTATTATTCTTTATTCTATATTCTATTTATTGTATTTTATTGTGCTTGTCCCTTAGTTTAATACTTGTTAATAGTTTGTATGCTGTCTGGTCTGTTTAGTATGTTACATGTCATACATAGGTGCAATCACCAAGACAAATTCCTTGTATGTGTAACAAAGTAATTCCGAAGACACATTATCGTTACATTACAGGTGCAAATTGTCTCCTATATATTCCTTATATTGTTTAAAGTTGTAAAGCTTCAAAGTTTCAATGCTGTATGTAAAATTAATTTCAAAACAGTGTCACACTTAACCTCTCATTTCCTGTCTTCTAGGGGAGCCTTCGTTAATGATCAAAACTAGGCCTCTGGCTGCATCCTATCAGAGTAAAGTGAGAGAGTGCTGAAATTTTTGGGGGTTGTTTTGTTGAAGGGGTGGCACAATTAAATCAATCTGAGTTAACCAAGTCTGTGTATTATGTAATTAGGGCTCTGTAGAATCAATACTTTTAATACATAACATATCTAACATCAAATTGAACTCAGAATTAAACAAAGTATCAAACATGAAAATGTGTATATCTATACATGCCTATGAAAGGGAGTGTGTTATCGTGAAAAAACATCTTGCCTTCGGCTCGTGCCTGCAACCAAATCACAGCCGTAATGTTGTTCGTGATAACACACCTCGAGTGTTCCATTGCTTTTATACAACAGTTAAATAAATAAAGTAAGAAATAAATAAATTGGGCCATGAACGAGGCATTTCATATGTTTTAATGTTAGCAATTCCTTCCGCCAAATTATAGTTCCTTAACAAGAAGCTTGTTGCTACGTCAGAGTAACGAACTCCGCTCACTGGCTGCACAGCTAGCAGTTCGTTCTCCAGCTCCTTGTTTTGTTCCAGCCAGTCTGTAAAGCATTTTACAGCCCATTTTGTTTGGCGAATGGTATTCGGTTCATTTCTGGCTAATTCCAGGTTGTTTAGATGTTCTCCCTCACAGCTGCTGACTGAAAAGCTTGCTCATTGGTAATGACAGTTACCTTCATCTTGTTACCTTCAGTTGGTCATCTTCAGAGTCTGACTAAATCGGCTGTAGGTCGTGTTATCTTAAAAGTATCCATTTTCTGTTTGTGCACAAAGTAAGAAGTAAAAACGTTCAATTGGCTTGAGCGTCTCCTACAGCTGTCAAGTCGTTGCTTAGTAACGGCGTCTAAGTGAAGTGATACAGTGTTTGTGAAAAAACCCTTCTTAACCAATCAGCTTGTTGTTGTTATATATAAACAATGCATTTGACAAGAAAAACAAGTGTTTCTGAAACGAACACAGTCATTATTGTGATTGAAGCACTGGGATAGATATGGAAGGTCATTTTGACGAACATTGCATCTTATCAGACTAAATCAAGCACTTCCGAGAACAAGCAGGACTGAAAATACCTGTGTGGAGTGACTAGGCAGTTATGTGCCTCCTTCAAAACCTGCCTGGGCTGAACACTTCTGATTATCCCAATTTGAACAGGTCAGACTAACCTTATGTGAGCTGAATGGGCAGATATATATAATGACATCAAAAAAACAATTTAGTTTTTCTGTTTTTGCAGCTTAATTTTTACATATGAACTGCGTGAACTGGGAAGTAAATAGCACACTTGTTTACACACTCATTTTTACAAAATGGGAAGAAAATTCAGTTTTTCCTGATATGGGCCCTTTAATGGTACTGAACTCGGATATGCTCTGCTTTATGCAATATAGACATTTTTAATTTCTTAATTAAAAATATCATCCTTGGGAATTTTCAGTGCCAGGCACCAGCTGCGTAAGATTAGCAGCTTTTTCCTCAGTTTGAGGCTAAATGTAAGCATAATCCCAGAGGGACCCTGTAGGCCCTTCAGGCTTTTTCCCTCAGAGAAAACTGCTCGAAACACCTTAAACACTCTTCTTTATCTATTCCTGTAGATAAACCTGCCCAAGCTAAAGGCGTTTTTCACATTCTACTAAACCCACGGTCATATTCCAAAAGGAGAAAATCCAAGTTTGCTATTCCCTTCTAGCCGCTGTTCGAGGCTATACAAACAGGCGAGCTCATTGTGTTTGAGTCCTCCTCATTCCTGCGAGTGGAGGAGGAGCAGCAGCAGCCGAGCAGCTCATCGTCTGGGCGAGTCGAAGGGGCTGTTGGGAACTCAAACACAAAGCAGATGAGAGGAGCGATGTCGGCGGATAGCACGGGCAGAGAGAGAGGGAGGGGGTGAATTCAGATCGTAGATGTAGATGTTATATATTTTGGAGCTAGAATTTTCAGCACGGGGCTTACTTCAGCCACGCTGGCACTCCAAAAAAGGCAGCTCTTCGCTGCTTCCCTTCCCCTGAGCACGAAAACGGGAATGACAGAGTGCTCTTCATCTGGCTGACAGCCACGGTACGGTACATTTGGCAGATTTGGCAGCTTTAGTAAGACGTCCTAGCTAACCTCACCGAGCTCCCCCGAGCTTAAAGAGCGGTTTTCAGGCTTTTAAAGCACTTTCTACTCCTGCTTCATCGGGAAATACTTTTTCAGTTTTTAACGGTTTTCAGAAAGTCAGCAGTTGACATTTCAATTTTTAATTTTGCAGCTCGCGGCGTTTTTGTCCTCGAGCTTTTTTTTCGAGCGGTGAGCGTTGGTGCTGCTGCTGCCTCTGCTGAAGAAGAAGTGACCGATGCTTCGTGCTAGCAGAATGGAGGAGTTTGTGACCGAGGAGGACGAGCCGTGGTACGACCAGAGAGACTTGGAGCAGGGTGAGTACCACAGCAGAGATGGCTTTTCGAGAATAGCGGCAGTAAAGCGTCTGTTTATGTAAAGTAGTCCTGAAAACGGTTTACAGGGTTTAGAGGCCTAAGCAGTAAACCGCATCGCCGATGACTACAGATGTGGGCCTGAAGGTGGAGCTGGAAGAAAAGTGCTACCTGATTTGGGTCATCACAGACATTAACGTTAAACGTCGAGCGTCATCTCGACTTATTGTGAAGATCCTCAGTAGCCCAGCGGCGTCCCCCATGACACCGAAATGGCATCATTGACAGCCCAGCTGCTCGCACTTCCTCAGGTTACATCACTCGGGGACCAGTGTGTGAGAGGATGAAGCTGGTTTTTGTGTAGGCCATGCTGTGGTGTAGCCGGGCCAAACGGATGATAGTTAGGCTACTGTATAAAACTGCGATGGCTGTTGTGTGTTCCTTGTGATTACAGTGCGTTTTCCTAGCTGACTTGTCACATTGTATTGTATTTTCCACTCGTTTTTTTTTTTCAAACTGTCAGTTCGTGTTCCCCTCTCCTTTCTGTCTCTTCTCCTCTTCATCGTGTCTCTGCCTCTGTAGACCAATTATTTAAATCTTGTCAGAACAGACAGGGCAGGAATGAACTCATGAATTCATCTCTCTCTCTCTCACTCTCTTTTTGCCTAGAATGATGTCATTGCCCTTTGTCTGCCCTCTGCTTTGCTGCTTTGTCATAAAGTGCTGGGTTTCAGGACAGCTCGGCACTATTTTTCATTGCTGAGTATGAGAACACTTTGTTTGAATGTGTTTAAGAAGGTCTAATTTGACACCAGTTCAAGCCGATTGGCACACAGATTTGTTCACTTCTTTAGAAGCTCGAGACCAGACTGGTCTTGTAGAAAAGGAATGTTTGGGGAGGGAATTTTCATCATTCGCGGCGACTTGGAACTTGGCATAAGGAGTTCTTGGCCCAGAATGGCTGTGGAGGAGGAGTTGGAAGAGGACTCAAGTCGACTTACTTCCAACATCTGTTTGAATAATCTGTGTGAAATGATGTTGAATCTTGGGTACTTTCGAAGTCACGGTTGTTTTCTTTCTTACATACATTGTGCTTAGAAATTGTCATTTGTACCCTCATGTATATCTGGCAGTGTGTTTGCGGGTGAGCGTTTGGCATTGGATTGCCGTTGATTCAGTTTCCATGCATGCTTTAGGTTAATTTGCCAGTTTCACGGGATTGCTTCACATTGATCGTATTGATTCAACTGTGGGGCTACAAGGCCTGAATAAAGATGTCACAACATTCATATGTCTGACACGTAAAACAGAAATTAGTCAGTTTTCAGAATCCTGTTGACCTGCTGCAGAAATTCACTTCAGGCTTAGATGTAGTCTCAATCTCAATGAGATTAGCAAGGCCTTAATTCAATACTCTTTGACTCACACTGCTGCTAATGGCTTTGTGGTGATTACACACACACACACACACACACACACACACACACACATGCTGTCCTTTTACGGAAAGTTTTTATCGATCTGGCTGGGCAGTCCTGCACATGTAGAGGAAGAGAAAGGGGAGCAATCAATCAGAAAGAGAAATGGCCGTTTTAGCGCATGTGGAGGAAAAGCCTGAAATTCAGTAGGTCAAAATAGGTCAGTGTTGAAGCGCAGAAGACCGGACTGCCATACATCTGGGATTTAGCTACTGCTGTAGTCTTAGTGTATGATCTTGACCTTGGATCAGTTCATGTTTTTGTCCTGTAGTGTGATTTATGCAGTGATGGAAGAAGCAGCTTTTCTGTGTGTCATTGGATTCTGTGTGCTGGCTTTGGACACAAAAAATAGGTGGATCATGTAGTTGGGGTGGCATGAAGTCTCAATGTCCCTCTTCCCCTGCGTTATTCAATATTTGATTAAGTGGCCTTAAACCTGGGTTGATCTGATCTGATTAGAGACTGATCGGGGGGAGGGGTGGGGAGGCTGGGGTTAAGTTTGTTGGGGTGGCTGGAGTGACTGGCTTCATCCATACTCAGCAGGACGACACCACAATAGCCTACTTTCTAAGCGCAGAAAAACAAGGTATATGAGAACTTGATGATATATTTAGTATTTTTGTAGGCCAGAGAAAATGCACCAGTATGCCATATTTTAAGAATATTATGAATATAATGATTTTTACTCAAACATTTTATTACTTCACTGCACTTAATCCAAAGCAGGAGTAAACAGGACTAATTATGCTCTCTTTGTAATTAAATATGCAGTTGGTAAGTGTGCTTTAACTGATATCCATAATATGGCCAGAAAAGCATATTATGATGTATTATGAAATAATTTAACACAATATGATAAGGATTTGTCAAAATGTCCACCCCTAATTGACATACGTTTCCTGCTGGACAGTGGTCTCTGGATCTGCACAGTATTTGTGCTTGTGTTTCCATGCTGATCTCATTCACAGTGGTGCTTTGAGGTGAAGGAACACATGCAGAAGCCTTTAGCGTGTGGTGCCTATGTTTGGCCCTTAGCCGTGGGGTGAGTGTGGGTGTGTTTGTGTGCTTGTGTGTGTTTCTCCTTCCTGGAATGTGCCTTGTTAGCCAGTTTATACACTCAGGAAGTGTATACAGATCCCAGTTTCAATATAATTAGCATCCTGTACTCCATCTTCCCTCAGAAAAGCAGGCCTAATCAACCTAGTTTAATCGCTATTATTAGATTATTTTGTTCACCATGTCCTACTTGACATTCTACTTGGTTAACCCATTCTTGAATACATTTCGCAGGACATGCTGGCAGTTGGCATGTTGGCGTTTATCACATTACCACTGATTGAGTGAGCTGTATCTTTTGGTGGGTGCCTAATGAAAGTGCTTCATAGTCAAGAACTAAACCTATGTCTATAACATTTCATACAAAACAGCAATTGCAGTTACGGTTATGCTGACCTCTGGGCGTTTAGGTCCTGTGTGGCTGAAAGCAGAGCAGTGCTATAAGGTCTCTTTGCATAAACATCTGTCCCATTGGTGCATGTAGGCCGTACTCTTAGCAGTCCACCAGCAGTCAAGTGCTGCCTCTTTATCTGCCTGATGTTGTGGAGCATTTTGGAAATAATAGAACAAAGAGCCGTGTCACTGACTGACCTCAGTCGACAGAGGGGGGAGGGAGTGCATAAGGAGTTGAGTTTTCTGCCTACTGTGTGATTTTTGTTTTAATTAAGGAGTAGTCTGGCATTTTTCAACCTAATGTCTTTCTGCTGCATATATACACCCAAAAATGGTTCTTCAAGGTTCTTTAGTAAAGGTAATTGTTATATGTAAAACTGAGAGCATTCAAAGAACCATTTGAATGCATGAATGGTTCTTTGCATGGTCAAATCGTTCTTCTCTGTGATGGAAAATCTGCTGTATGTAGTTCTTTTCAGAATGTTTTAAAATTGTTGTGTCATATCAAGTGAATGTAGATGTCTGTCTGTCTGCCCTACGATGGACTGGCGACCTGTCCAGGGTGTTTCCTGTCTTCCGCCCATTGACCACTGGGATAGGCTCCAGCTCCCCCCATGACCCAGAAGAATAAGTGGCTTAGAAAATGTGTGTGTGTGTGTGTGTGTGTGTGTGTGTGTGTGTGTGTGTGTGTGTGTGTGTGTGTGTGTGTGTGTGTGTCGTATCAAAAAAAAAAGTTCAGCTATTGTTCGAAATTGTTAGTTTTTATTTAGAAAGCATTATTTAGTAGCATACCATTGATTGCTGAACACTTTTCCGTACACTCTTAGTAAAAGCTTTCTATATAGTTCTGCAAAAGGGTTATTTGAATCATAATAATCATGGAACCCTTATGCTATATAGAACCATTATTGAAAGGATTCTTTTCAAAAACCATATACACTTGTTTTTTTATCATAGAGAAAAAAACATCTGACCATGCAAAGGACCATTTTATGCATTCAAATAGTTCTTTGAGTGTTCATGGTTCTATATAGAACAGTTGCCTTTACTAAACAACCTTTTAAAGAGTGTAAATAGAGTGGGCTGAAAGATTAATCAAAGATCCATTTTCAAATTGCAAGAACTTAATTTTTATTTATATCTTATATTAATCACAGTTGTCTTAGCAAGTTAACAACTGGAGAGATTTAACTTAATAACACTGAACTTGTGAACTGGCATTTTGACACACTACATTTTGACACTGTTCAAGTCTCAAGCCTGAAAAAATAGATGTGATGGGCGTCTTGGTGAAAACATGTACCTGGAGCTTAATTTAAAGAAAATATTAAATCACATTCACAATAGTGGTCAGAAGAAAAAATCTTTTGCCTGGAAGTACACTTATAATAGAAGCCAATGGGTGTCTTCTTTTATAAGTGTGTTTTGAGTCAGTGTACTGAGTACAGAGAAATTATGGTTCTTGGTAATCAACCGTATGCTACAGATGCAGCAGATAGAGCTTGGAAAACACTGGAGTATTCCTTTAATTCTCTCTTCTCCTGGAGACCTGCCCTGTTTGGTCTCATTATCTGCTGTTCCACTCTGTCTCCAGCCTGGGGACCCTGGGGACCAATGCACTCACATTCATATGTGCTGTACAAAGACAGCAAGCAATACCATGCGGTGTTGAAGCTCTCACATGTGATTTATGTGTGAGCTGCTGTGTGGTCCTGTGTTACAGGGTGTTTGCTTTATTGCTGACACCATGTATTTCATGATAAATCACTGCATTCATATCTATACAATGGGGGTCAATGTTTTTAACCCCGTTAAGCCTTCCCTGTACGCCGTCTCTCCTACAGAGTTACTGTCTTTGTGTGGATGCTAGTATGCTAGCCCAGCAGCATGTTCTCCATCTTGCTGTATAAGCAGTCTGTCTGTGTTGACAGGACTTTGTTTGTGTCTTTGGTCGTCTATGTGTGCGCGCTGATGTGCAACAATGCATATTGCGCTGGGAGGAGCTGTAGCTTTATGTTAGACTGTCTTCAGTGACGGAGAACGATGATGCACAGATAGCAACAAAAGAGCCTGCGATGTTTCATCATGAAATACATTTATGCTGCCTATAAAGACAGTGATGTCCTGGTGTAGGAAGAATAGAATAAGCGGGTGTCTTTGGCATTTAACTGTTACTGGACTATATCAAATCTCTTCTTGCAGTCCAGCATGTTGTGCACGTAACATGTCTCTTAACAATCTGACACTCAGCACTTCTGTTTTTCTGCCTCTTTTTAGAGTGCGTGCATCATTTTTCCACGTGGCCCACTTTAACCAGGCTTTAACAGTTTTTCTGCTTTCCTTTTTTTCCCTTTTCCCTTTTTTCTGCTTCCTTGATCTCATCTTGGCTGACGTCAGTGCAGCTTACGTTAATCAGTGTCAAAATGAAGGATTAAAAAAATGACCTTCTTTTGGGGGAATTAGACAAGATTTTCTATTGTCTCCCCTCTTTTTTTCCCTATGTGGTACATTCTGCACACCCCATCTAGAAATGTCGGTTTCAGCCTGAAAATAGGGTTCCTCTTTTGTGGATAAACAATGAGCCTAAATATTAGAATAACAGAAAACAGTCTGAACAACAATAGAATAAAGCAAGGGGCCAAAAATGGTAGTTTGGCCAAGAGTAAAGGAAAGCTGATGTGGATGTGTCTCCTTTACACAATGCTAAGTGGTCTTTATACTAACCTTAATTCATTTTTAGCATGAGACTTTGCTGCACGGCCTGCCCTTATTAATGGTTCTTGGCGTCTCCCTATCTGTCTGTTTTCCATATGTGCCTTCTTTCCCCTCACACTGTTTGCCTTTGTTTGCTCTCTTCAGATCTGCACTTGGCAGCAGAGCTGGGGAAGACCCTGCTGGAGCGCAATAAGGAGCTGGAGGACTCGCTGCAGCAGATGTACATTAACAATGAGGAGCAGGTGCAGGAGATCGAGGTGAGGTCCTAGCTGGAGCGCAATTTATGGGAAAGTGCATCACGCCCTTTGGGGCAGTTCAAGCTGTTCAGTTCCGAATGTGCTCTCTTGAAGTCTGCTTTGTGGGTATCTTGTGACTTGTAATTAAAGGATTTGTCAGGAAAAAAAAAAGAAATAGTGCACTGTGTAGTGTTTTAGCCAGATTGTCATGTTCAACTTCTCAGCATAAAACTTAAATCTCTTTACACGCAATACTGCATTTTCAAATAAAAAAGTATGTAATTTAATGCTGGTGTTTGTGAAACAACAAGAGCTTCTTAAGCTTATGCTTGGTCAACACTAGAGAACCTTTTTAAATACAGATTTTTTTTTTTTACTGTAGTTATGCATCAGTCATCCAAAGCCCCAAACTACAAAATTCACCAAGAAAAAAAAACATCACACACTTTCAGATCACACTCACGAATCAGAGGCCCAATCAACGGTTTTGTTTCTTAGAACCTGATCTCTCAGAATGTCTCATGAGCAAATGTTACTTTAGATTACAACATTGAAACAGACATTCAGTACAGATTACTGTGATACTTATATAAGGATTTAGCAGCATGAAAGTGAAAGAAAATTATTTTCTTTTTTTTTCCTCTTTATTTTTTATTTATTTATAGATTAGGTTAAAATGATTTCATCCTTCCATTCAGCTCCGCTCTCACTGGTTAGTGGTCTTTCATGCATGACGTCAACACTGCGTTTCACATGAGAGAATCAGCATTCCCTCCACACTACATGATTGAGTCATAAATATTGAAAAGTTTAATATTTACAATCAAAATTGGGCCAATCCTGACTGGGTTTTGAGTAGATTAGAGGGAGAATGTTTGGAATTTAAACACCCCTGTGTGTTGTAATTCCAAATATTTTCCCTCTAATCTACTCAAAGCCCAGTCATCTTCGGCCCAATTTCAAAATAATAAAGGATTTTATTTAGCAAAAAACAAATTTGGTGAACAAGCACCTATTGTTTATGAACAGTTCAGACAAAAGTGGCAAAAACTTAAAAATGAACTGTTTGGAATTTATTTGAGGAGACATTGACTTCTATGATTTTTTTTTTAACTTTGAAGGCTTAGTGTAAAAGTAACCCTGTTTGGAGGCTGAACTGTTTGGAACTTTGCCTGGCTAGCTCTCACTGTGAGTTGTTTGCATAGAAATAAATGTAATTTTTTCTGTAATGCAATTCCAGATGCATCTAGTCAAAAGTTCTGCGTTTTGTAAATGTTAATGCATCAGCATAGGCAGATATGTGCATGAAAAATATTGGATATTGGCCTCAGTGCACAATTTCCATCAGTGCATCCCTAGAAAAAAGTTACTGTCATGGTACAAAAACAAGGTGGATCTTGAGAAATAGCTGTATGATTGCATTCAAAATTGACAACTCATGTTCCTTTGGCAATAGGAGATGACCAAAAGCATGTTCCATTTAAATCTGTCTAGCTACATACAAAAAATGCTCTTCCCATACAGCTTTTGTCATTTTCTTCCAAGGGCCTTTTCCATAAAAACAGCACAGATTTTTCTATATAGGGCACAGTGAGTGAAGAAACAAGTGAACCATTTGGACCACAGTGAGAGTGTTCGCTGTGTGGGCAGGAGGGGGGCTGGGGTCTGCAGCTCGCCTGTCACGTTGCCAGATCTGCAAGTCGCTGCTGCTACACAAAGACTTGGGAACAATGAGGCGTACTGTTGGAAGGATAAATTTAATTACCATGGCCTCAGTCTTCCACATGCATTATGCAATGGCTATACTGGTCAAGTAGGCTAATATGGTATGATTTTTGGTGTAATTTTCTGCAGTTTTCTGGGGCACTCTTTAGTTTGTCACTGTATAGGCTACATTTTGCTGCATATTAGAAATTTATGCAGGCATTTATTTATGAAGAAAAGCATTTTTAAGACACTTTTATTGTAGTATTTTTCAGTCATATGAGTATTTAAACCGTAATAGTACTTACTTCCTTTACAGTAAGCAAAAGAAGAAAATCTAGAAATTTAAGGTAGTAAAACCTAAAGAATAGGTTAAAACAGACGTTAATAGCATCCTCTTTTTACCACTATAGTAGAACATATCCACATTTAGTCATGCGAGAGAACGGGAGCTCTTATTGTGTGTGTTTGTGTTTTCTTTCCTTGTCTAGTACTTGTCCAAGCAGCTGGAGATGCTACGGGAGATGAATGAACAGCATGCAAAAGTGTACGAGCAGCTAGATGTGACTGCACGTGAGCTGGAGATAACCAATGAGAAACTGGTGCTGGAGAGCAAGGGCTCACAACAGAAAATAGACAGGTGAGTCACAACTAGTATAATAGTTTGTGATTGATCCCCCAAAAATTTACCATCTGCTTTGGTTAAAATTCCAAGTCACATTTCTACCATATACACCAGGCATGTCAAATTAGGGATCTTCTGGGCCAAAGTACTGCGGGTATTAGCACTTACCCTCATCTAAAGTTCTGAATTCAGTTCATAAAGGCCTTGCTGATTAGCTGATGAGCTGAATCAGGTGTGTTTAATGAGGCAGTGTGCTGAATTGTGGTGCAGTGTTTTGGCCTGCGAGGACTGGAGCTTGGCACATGTGATATACACAGTTGGGCAAAATACTTTGAAAAAGAAGTGATGGCTGAATACACTTTCCTAAATGTATTCAGTGACGTATTCCATTACAATACAACTTATTCAGAATACATATTTATAAGGCATGTGGAAAAAAACTTTTTTATACTTAATTCACACTGTACCTCACTCTTACTGGTTGGCAGTTTTCTTCTTGCAAATCTTAACGAAAAATTTATCATTCAAATTAAATTTTATGAATTTGTCCACTACTGAGGAGTTTGTTAGTTTGATCATCTCTCAAACAAGCTCAGCAATGCTGATCATAATAACTGATCATCACGTTGATTTCAGTCTACTCAGGCTTTAGCAGGAAATTCAGTAACTGAACACTACCTTTACAAAATGTAACTTGGACTGAATACAGATACTTAATTTCTGTATTCTGTTACATCCCAACCCTGCATATACACTAGTCTAGAGTAGGAGTGGAATAAAAGTGAATACTGAAGATGGCACAATGCCACTTTTTTCAGAATCCATTACAGATATTGAAACTTTTGAGTACTGGCTGAGACTGATTGATATTTCTTCTTTAAAAACTACTACTAAGCTTTCAAATGAACTGTTTTTATTAAAGCTCTTCATTTTAGCTGAGCATCTAAAATAGGCTACTGTGCTCAAACTACTCAAACATTCTACTACCCTACAGGAAGCAGTACACAGCTAACATCATATCACAGAATGTTACTGTGCTCTGTGACCCTTGATTTGTTACAGGATTGAATCTGATTGGTCCAGTATTTTCTGCTAATATCAGCCCAATACTGATACCCATCACTACAGATATGCAATTTCTAGTGAATATCAGTATGACATTGTTTCCTTATTTGTTTTTTGCCATGTCATGGATCCTATGATAAGCTTAAAACAGCCCCACCCCCAAGAAAAACTAAACATGAGCATGAACTGCAGAAATATTTTAGAGAAATGCAAAATAGAATTGCAGGGAGGTAAAAACAAACAGGAGGAGAGAAGGATGAAGAACCGGTCCTTAAAAAAAGGAACTGAAGAAACTAGTGGAGTGCGTGTTTACATAATAAATAAAACGCTTTCGTTTCTAACTTTCTCACAGTGATTGGTTTTATAAAGTTAATAAGAAGCCCATTATCAATTAACATTGATGTTTATAATTTATTCTTAATTATTATTATAATTGTTGTTATAAAGTGGATTTGCATTGCAATAGTATTAGCAGTGTTGTATTTTTGGTGTGTTAATGGTGTTATTGTACTGATTATAACCTAATGGAGGTTTTCTAAGTATAATAGAACAATCTCTCTAAGTCAGTGGATCCCAGACTAAAGTCGAGGTCACGAGCCAGTGCTAAGGCTAAAGTTAATCATTTCATTGTTGTAAAAAGGCTTGATTACAGTGAAGCTGTTGAGGATATTCAGAAGATATTTTAACTGATCAATTGGAGACTATGGTGTCTCATACATGGTAATTTATTGTGCAAAGATTGTTTTTTGAACATTCATATGAGATATTCTATGTACAAAGTTGCTCTTTTATTAAGTGACTTAAACCAACAGCGGTTAGGTGTCTGAAAACTACCAAATGTGGGACTATGTTTACACAAACAAAAGACATCTGTATAATATAGGTCAGACATTCAAATATGTATAATTTGTGCATCCTGTTTTTCCACTTCATCAGATGCTGGTTATTTTCTGATATCATGCAATTGGCCAAACACCAAAAAAATCCAAGTACCAGACTAGACACAGGACAGTTTGAGCTGGCTGGCTGGCTGGAGTAGAGCCAGAAGCCAGACAGATGGTTAAACTGCATGAAAATGTATGTGCGCAGGTTGACAAGTACCATGGAGATGCTGCAGGGTCAGGTAGACACTCTCACCGCTCGTGTGGAGGAACTGCGCACACTTGAGGAACTACGGGTTCGCAGGGAGAAGAAAGAGAGACGAAAGACTGTGCACTCCTTCCCCTGCCTGAAAGAACTGTGCACCGCTCCAAGGTACCACCTCCTTTCTGACCACGAAAATGTGGCAAACTCTTATGAGCCATATACTCAAAATGGAGAACATTTTTATTTCATGATTCATCCATTCTGATCTCTGATAGTTTGGCAATGAGGCTAATGTAGCTAACATGGAAGATTATGCCTCAAATATTAGCATTGTAAAAACTGCATGTTCAAATAACAAACTACCTAGCATAACTAAAAGCAGAAATAGCAGCAATCTTGAAGCCTATATGTTGCTTATACTTTTGTCCATTTTTATAGATGGCAGTATGTCAGTCTCAGAAGCTTAATTAACAACAGTTTGAGAAGTGTGTAATGATTTAGGCATTCAGTTTGCACAATGCTTACTGATGGTTGTAAGTTTCCATTAATTTGTAGATACATTAGCCTTGTTCAGACATATCTTGGCTGATTGCATTTTGGTAGAAGGCAAAAAAAATGTTTTTAAAGGTACAATGTCTGTATTTAAAGGCTAGAGTAATACTTCAAAAGAAAGCTGCTGTTGTGTGGCCTTTCTACTTCCAGGTATGAGGATGGCTTCACGGTGTCTGACCCAGGCAGCGGCGACCTTCAGGAGCAGCCCTCAGCAGACGAGGAGAATGAGCGGCTGCGTGCAATGGTGGCATCCCTCAGGGCAGCGGTGGCGGCCGAGAGGGGGCGTCGTGAGAACGCAGAGCGTGAGTGTGCTGCTGTGCTACAGGAGTTTGAGCGCCTGGAGCAGCGGCTGCTGGGAGCTGAGGGCTGCCAGCGGCGTGTCCATGAGCTGGAGGCCGAGCTGCAAGAGATGCAGCAGATGCGCAGGTCACGTGCCCGCCTGCTGACCGGCGAGGACGGCCTAGAGCAGACGCTACTCAACAGTGCCCCAGAAACCGACACGCCTGAGGATGCGTCCGCTTTAACACAGGAGGATGGAGGCTCTGGAGAGCCGCCAGTGCGGAAGAGCTGCAGTGACACCGCTCTGGACGTCATCTCGGCGGTGGACGCCACAGGGAGACGCAAGGGCAGTTACGCACTACATGCCAATGGCGTGCGGAAGCGTGGCATGTCCATCCTGCGTGAGGTGGATGAGCAGTACCACGCACTGCTGGAGAAGTATGAGGAGTTGCTTGGTAAGTGCCGACGCCATGAGGAGAGCCTGCGGCACGCTGAGGTGCAGACGTCTCGGCCCGTGTCCAGGGATCCGTCCATGAAGGAGTGCCGGGCTGCTGAGTCCCGGGAGCCGCCACAGACACCACCATCCACGCCCGAGGCCATGGAGGGCATCAGCAGGCAGGTAGAGGCTGTGGACAAGCGGCTGAGCCAGAACACCCCTGAATACAAGGCCCTGTTCAAGGAGATCTTCTCACGCCTGCAGAAGACCAAGACCGATATCAACTCCACCAAAGGGAGGAGGAGTGGAAAATAACTGCATTTTGCTTAGAGAAATGTGCCACAGGACATTTCTTCCAGTCTACCCCAGGGGTTCTCAACTTCAGCCCTGGGTACCCACTGCCTACCCACTGTTCCATTTTCCCTACTCAACACAACTAATCCAGCTCATGAAGAGCTTGATAGTTATGACAAGCTTGAGCAGTTGGTTTGGGGTAAGGAAAACTTTAGACTGTCTGGGCTTAAGTGGGTCCCCAGGACTGAAGCTGAGAAGCACTTTTCTATCAAACTTAGTTTTAATTGCTTAAAGGCCAGATTCAGAAAGGCAACTTCATGCTAGCACACAGCTTCTAGATAGAGTAGTATATTGGGTGTTACTTGCTATGTTGGTGCACCTTAGATCAGGATGAGCACCAACAGAACAGGTCTTGTCTGGTTTGAGATCTTTGGTTGTTCATGTTTGTTTAAGATAGTGGGAAGTTGCTTAGTTTACAGATCAGGTTGTTATAACTCACTACTGGTTTTACTGGAACTTCTCACTGGCAGGGTGTCTACATTAAAAGATGAAGCAGTTCACTGCTGATCATCCCCTTTCTGAGTACACATGTACCACCTGCACCACTGTGTATAACTGCAACCTCAATTCTGTAATCAGTTCTTTCCAATATTAAAAGACGCTTTGCATAAGGGGGGTTTATACATTTATTACTTTGAGAATGGATGGATGAGAGAATGAGTTGATACCAGCATGATCTTGTATCTGCAACAGCAAAATAAATTATAAAATGGTATGAATGTCCACACCGATAAATGGAAAAAAACAAAAAACACTTCAATCTGAACACTTTTTAATGTTGACACAGATGAACAGTAATCTCCAACTTCCACAGTGATAGCAGTACAGACAGAGACACCAAAACCAAATGAAGAGAAGAAGCAAGTGCAATAACAAATCTCCACCTGACATTACAGGCAACGTTGTCAAGAGGGGAAAAAAATCAAAAATAAAACTGAGTGTACATACTAGGACAGAGCAATGCGCCAGGCGCAACTCTTTCCTATTTTGTGTTCAAACCTCAAGGTGAAATCGCACCTGGACTGGAGCAGAGGACTAAGGAGAAAGATAGTCAAACTGAGTCCAGATTCAAAGAACACCCCTAAACCTTTATGTCCCTCTCAGCCAAACACACTTCGCTTAGAGTTCTGACTTCATGTTTGACGCCTCTTAGGTTTCACAGACCTTGGTAAGCAGCTTGTGATTATAAATAGTGGAGGCACAGTCAGTGATGTTTGTAATTCATCAGTGGAGTAGTTTAATACTTGAGGTCTGCAAGTGAAAACAGCCCTTTCCGCTTCAGGAAATCTCTTTAGCACTTGCTGACAGCGCTCGCAGACCACAAGGCAAAGGGCACATTCCACAAATTTAAGCACCTGCCTTCTTTGGAAATGGGAACATTTGGGAGAGAGAACATAGAAACTAGAAACACACAAGGGTATGGAGGGGGCCCAAAATGGCACAGTTGTACTTTCAGTTTCATGGTTCTTCTACTTCTACTGGCCTTCATGTTTGGTCCATCCTAAAAATCAAGCCAATTGGATGAGGCACCAGATGAAACGATCACTTCTGACAAGGAGCAGCAGTATGCAGAGCATCTTCAGCTCTGGCAGGCGGGGGGAAATAAATGATTTCAGATTTAAAAAGGTTACATTGACAGACATCAGATTTTAAAATGTTACTTCAAAAAGGCAAAAAGCTCCTCAACATCTTGCTACAGGAATCATTTGTAAGGCCACATGGCGAAATAAATGGTCACAAGAACACACACACTACCACAGAAGAGGCTGACCAGTGGAGCTCCTCTAATGGGCGGGAGGTCAAGACATCTACATCCTCTAAACATTACATACTTAAAACCACGTGCACACGAAGGCATTCTCTAGTCACCATTTAGCCACCCAAATACAGACCTGCCCTCCGCTGTCAGCTCTACATACTTCTACAGACGTCAGCTACACCCAGTCATGCTAACCACTGTACACAGATTATCTCAAAAGGCATAAAGACAAAGACGTTTTTCCTCTGGGCTGAGGAAAGCCGCAAGTTCTGAGGGAATGCCAGTGGCAAAACATTAGCAAGCGGCACCATCTCCCATTACTCTCATCAAGGCAGATCATGGTAATAATAATAAAAAAAAAAAAAAAAAAAAGGAATGTCAAAAACAAAAAGCACACAGGACAAATAAGGGTGGGGCAAACGAGCAGGAGGAGGAGCATAGGGGTGTGAAGATTACTACTAACAGCCATGTCAAAAGTATCCAAGTGTTTTCTTTATGAATATTTTTTTCCTCTCTCTTTTTTGTCTTTTTTGAACTTTTATATACAAACAAACCAAAAACACAAAATTTGGATTGTGCACGTTTTGTTTGTTTTTCACATATATATTTTCAAAGCCTCAATACTCATTGGGAGAGAAGGGAGGGTTGAAGGAGAAGGGAAGGAATGGCAGAGGATGACAAACAGTAGGAAGGTGGACGGAGTGAGAGAGAGAGCCTTTTCTGTATGTCGATTAACCAGTTATTCCATGATGATGATGGGACTTGAAGTAAATGGGCAGGAGGGCGTATTGGGGAGAAGAGAGGGAGGAGGGATGTAGGAGAGGAAAAACAGCTGGGGGTTTGGGAGTGGCTTAGTCTTTCCAGTCCTTCTTGATGTTGAGGTTCCACTCCCAGGACAGATGGTCGTGCTTGTCATCGTCGGTGAACTTGGACTTTATGTTGTAGGTGCCGCGGGCCAGCATGCCTTTGGGCGCCTCCTCCAGCGGGGTCAGGAACTCATACTCGGCAGGTCGAGGCCCGTAACTGCCCACCATGTAGTCGGACTTGTCAACTAATGGAGTGTAAAAATGCGTCAATGCGTCAGTCTTAAACATTAACATTTGCTAGACACTATTGGCCTTATTTGAAAAAGAGAAATATTTCATAATTACACATAAAAGCACTGAAGTGCTTAGAAAATCATTTAAAAGAGAAAAAACAAACCCAAACTTACGCTTCACCCCTTTCCTAAAGGTCTGCTGTACATACTTCAGTCCTGAAACAATCTCCTTGTTTACCTGTAAAGAGTTTTATAAAACAGCAAGTCAGCTTTAGAAAGACCCCAGACAAACAGCTGTGTTAGCTTTGCTGAATCCACTTTGCTCGACACTCAAGCCAGATCTCAGTTTTCTTGAACAGGGCCACTCATTGTTTCAGCAGCGTGGAATGTTAGACATGATGTAATACACAAACTGGGACAGATAACGTGCCATCAACAGCATGTGGGCAGAACTACTCAGTTTTAGAATCTGAGGCCTTGCACCTGACAACTGTTCTCTGCCATACCATCTGTTGACTCTAGAAACATTTAGAAGGCAATGAACTCGTAAGTCATTATATTATAATATATAATATTATATTATTGTAATATAATGCAGGGAGATTCACTCGACTTTGTTGCTCCGACGCAGGGGCATCCCAGCTTGTTCGAAGCTCCATATACTGAGGAGCACATTGCATGTTTTATTCAGATTGCTTCGTCCTAGCGAGAGTTATTATAGAATATTTGGGGCCTCTTTCGAGTGAATCTCCCTGTACCTTATCAATGTAAAGCATGTGTCACATCATGCTGTCACATCAACAGTGACATGCTACAAATAGGTAAAAGCAGAAGATGAAAAAGTAACATGCCAAAATATACACTATACTAAAGAATATGTATTCCTTTGACAATCGTCATGCATGAGTAACACCATGAAAGTTTTATTTCATTTTATCGAAATTATATTATGTCCCAACTTCACTACAACCACAAGAAAAAAAAATAGCTGTCAAACAGAGGGCATAAAACATGACGTGGACAGTGATCAAAACTGTTTAGCATCACAACCTCTGACATTCTTCTCAAACTCTGTGGTGTTAAGGAAAAGCGCCACTTTTCTACCCATGCCTGAACTTGCCTTCATGGTAGGTTACATTAATGAACCCAGACAGGCCAAACTGGCCTTTGAGAAACCAGGTTAGCAGGACTGAAAGTACTGAAAGTATCTGGATGAAGACTGTGTCTTCATGTTAACACCGCTGTCAAAAAACAAAAAACCCCACAAACAGGGAGAACACAGATCTCCCAGATGCTAGAAAAGCAGTTATGTGGAATGAAATGAGAGGCTCACCTTGAAGCTGATCTTTATCCTATATTCCACTCCTTCTTTCAATATAAATGACTGTTTCTTAAAGCTCTCCAGGTCTCCTGAGGGAACACAAGCCCAGACAAAACACATCACATTCACATTCCAAGGTTATTAATGACCTTTAATTCTGTCCCTACATTCAAGTATCTCAGAAGAGGGCTGATCCGGGAACTACGTCAATTTCCTAAAAAAGGAAACTCGGGAACAGAAATACAGTGACCCCTACACTACACAGGGGTGTGAAATGTAGACCCTGTTTCCTTCCTCTATGAATGGTAGTGATGTTCAGGTTAGTGTATGAGCAAGCAAAAACCAAACTGTTCTGGGCCTTTGTAAGTATAAAATTCCACCAAAAAACAAATAAAAAAAAAACAAAACACTGAAAACAATCTGTTTTCATATGGACTCTTTTATAATTCCACGAAAGCAGAGTGCACCTCTAGGCTCTATCCAGCAGATGGCTGCTTCGGGCACATCTCTGTTTCTCTATTCTTTTGACATTTCCTTCCCTACTCTAACCAAGCCCTCCTCCTTTTCCCCTTACCACTTCTACTCGGAAAAACACATCATAAAATGCAGCAGTGTGGCCATTTTTTTCAAAAGATGAAGCATTTACTAATTACTCAGAGCACTTTTTCAACTTGCAATTTAGATCTAGGCAGTATCTCAAACATGATTAAATTTGATTACTCCATTACAAACTAACGCTGATTAATAATGTACATACTTTATTATTTGAATCATGCAACGGATTGCATAATAAGGCATATTACAAATTCTCCAACTTCTCTCTTACAGTAAGAAAAAGCCCATTGAACACATCCATTCGTATGAACAAATGCATTTACACATACATGTTTGCCACAGAGGGAAAGCTGAACTATTCTGAAGGGGGATCAGACTCGTAGGGGGAGCGGCTGCAGTGTTCTCTCTGGCCGAGCGAGGGCAGGATTAAACATTTCACTGTGGGGTAGGGAGTGCCTGTGTAACTCCCATAAATAACACTCATTCCTCATCTCACTTTGGTAATTCAGGCCATTCCAGAAACGACAACAACTAATGCTATTCAGCATAATAGGCTTAGAGTGTCAACAACAAAGACAGCAGCGGGTGAGTCAATGTAGTCTGGAATACAAGCTTAGAATAATGCCTATTACACATGGGGCATTCTTTACAGCTTGGTGTGAGGTGTGGATTAATGAAAGGTAATCTAATAAAGGCACTTAATGGATAATGGTGATTCAAGTGGCGGGTGGAAGCCTTTGTAAGTGGCCAGAGTCTTGATCTAAATAGAATGCCTCTCGAATACGTTAGATATGTCTGTCTATCCACTTGAAGATAACAGCCTACTTCCCCTGAAGGGTTCACTTACCTTGCAGGTCAAGGGTCAGAGGAGCAGGGGCTGTATCGCACATCAAAGTTAGTCGTGTCACTTGGACATTGGGTGCGTTAGGATCTGAAAAGAAACAGCTGAAATTAAAATCTTAGATAGCGTTTCTGATGTAAAATATTTTCAAATATTAAGTTGAAAGAATAAAGAATGAAACATATTAGAAGCTTTTTTTGTTTTTGGAGACAAGTTAAAATAACTCTGAACAGCTTCAAACAGACACAACTGCTGCCACATAAGGACTGAAGATATTCTTGGAAGCTTTGTGAGTGGTTCAAGCAGGGGAGGCTACAACTCTAAGTCTCATATTTTGCAGTACTATTAGTATGCTGCAGCGTTATCAAAACTGCAGTTTTGTCCCTAAACCAAAGCAACCTAGCAAACAGAGTTTCATGTATATAGCATGTACACATCATACATCCATTTTAGTCTTTATTCTACTCCTATTATTATTATTATTATTATTATTATTATTAAGTAAGCCTCAAACTCAAAGTAAATCTCATTGTACTTGTATAATTAATATAAATGTATTCTAGTCTAAATATCTGGTCAGTGAAGGGACATTCTGGCACAAAAGTATCATTTAATATGTTATTTAACATGTACTATAAAATCCTGTAGTGCAGCACCGCATCAATCAGCATCATCAGTTTTGTTTTTTTTGTTTTTTTTGTCGTTTTTGTGTTTTTATCCATCAATATTCTCTTACTACAATACCCCGCATGCATTACGCAAATCTCTCACACATCCATTGGGAATGCCCCAAAAAACGTATCCTCATGTATCCACAGCAGAGCCCTGAAAGTTCTTTAAAAGCTCCTCCCACCAATAATAATTCTTCGTCTTTATACCTGGAAACTTGTGGCACCACTATAGAAGGCAAGTAGGCCTGTTTATAATGTGATGGTTTGGCCAGAGTGCCCCTTTATAAAAAACACAAAAGGACCTTGGAGATCAGAAATGTACTGAACTAGACTGCAGCTTTTCTGGAAAAGAATTCTTTTAGGACGCTGATAACAATAAGCCTGGGCTCTTGGGGATATGACCTCCTTTTTGACTGTTCCTCGCAGGGTGTGAGCTGATGACCTGCCATCCAAAAGGACAGAGGCTTAGAGACATAGAGCCCTGTCTGAAGACTGCTGCCTCAGAGTCTGCTGCTGCACCCGCAGAGCAGCGAATCAGGTCATGTAATCAGCGCAGCAGCCCAGCCCAGACCAACACACACATTCACACTTCCTCTCTCCAATAAATCACCAACCACAAGTGTGGCTGCATGACATCTATAAAATCATACTGTGAAAAGTATTATATTGCTCCAAATTTTAACATACCGCAAACCCTTTGGTTACTCTTAATGTGAAAAAGTCTGAACATTCACAGAAACAGGCACTAAGCACATGACAAGATGGTTTTATGTATTCAGGCCTATTCTGATCTCAGCATTGCAGAAGCTGATATTGTGGTAGACCAATGTAAAAATTGGCACTGGCCACTGAAGCTACCAAGCCAATGAAACCTGTAGCAAAACGTAAGAATTTCTGGACCAAATAATAGAAGCATGATTACCAAATATACATTGCATGCGTCAGTTCTAAAAACTTTTCAGGTGTTGCTTTGAAAAAGGAAACATTTGTTAACATTTAGGTGGAACCACCACAGTCACCACACTGCCACATTACCTACTATGGTGGTTACAGTTAACCTGAACACAAAATATGATTTGTCTTATTAGTTTCATGTCTGACCAGACAGATTTGTTACAAGTTAAAAAGAAAGCAAAAAAATTATTCAAGGCAACTAGTGGCCAAAATATGAAATGTTGCAGCAAGGGGCACTGGGCAATAGGAAATGTCTACCTGGACAGGCCTAACGATAAACAAGCAATACACTATGAGCATGTGTGCATTTGCTGACGGAAACACACCTACGGCCACGGCGGCTGAGCCCAACAAGGCCTCCTTGTACTTGCGCAGGCTTTCGTCGTCCTTGTCCAGCTCCTGGATTTCCTGGAGGGTTTTCTGTGCTGGCGGCTTGTAGTTCACAGCCTCGCCCTCCTCGTTCTCGGCAGCGATGGCTGCTAGCTGTTCTGGGGTGGGTTCGTGTTCTGCCATGATCTACTGCTGGACACAAACACAAAATGACAGCAATATTAGAAGGTATGCAGTAGATGTTTACTAAGGCTGCAATGATTAGTTGTCAAAAGGTATGTTGATTATCGCTGTGGTAGCCAACAGACTGCAATCCATTATAAGAAGTGTATAGGGCGATACGGCTTGTATGGCCTTACTTCACCATAAATTAACAAGTCGGCTGTCATACAGACTGAAGTTTGAATGTTGGGAAAGGGGAAAGGAACTGAAGAAGACAAGACCCAGAATATTCAAAGTGTGAAAGATTACCACTAAAAAAATATCAGGGTGCAACCATCGACGATGGACGAATATTTAAAATGAAAAGCACTGATATTATCACTTGTGACGAAAATTAGAGACTTGTGGTTAAAGCAGCCTCCGTTTTATACCCGGAGAGTGCACTTTGACCCCGGCAAATAATCAGGTCGTATCAACCAGCAGCATGCAGCCAGCTGTCTGAGCCTGAGCATGTGACAGACTGAGGCAGGACACAAAAGCTTGGCAGCAGCCGTCCAGGTAGCAGCAAGATATCAGCACCGTTGTTCTAAATGGGAGAGGAAACGGGAGGAGAGGCCTGATCTTTAAGGCCTTGGAAGGGGGCATTTTACTGAAGATCATTCTGAGAAGCAACACCAGCCCACCCCTCACTGCTGCCCACACTGCTGGAGTGTCCATTCTTGCCTGTGAGCCCAGAATGGAACGGAACAAAGAAAGAGCAAGAGGTTTTATGCAGCCAGCTACTTTCAGGTTTACTGCATTAGTGGTCAGAGTCAATTACTGTTGAGGATCAGTGATACTACACAGTGCAAAGTCTGCATATGCATCAGACACGTGTGTGGAACGCATTCCGCTCAGGGTAGGAGTTTATCATATGCTACCAGGACAAGATGCTTTTGAGAACATCACGTGCATCATGAGCACTTCCACAACACTGAACACCTGCTTTTTAAATTAAAAAAGAAAACTTAGACCAATCAAAAGCCTTTAAAGAACACCATGTTAAGTGCATGTTAATAAGAAGTTAACAGAATGTGTGTTAAGTCTATCACATTTAACTGTTTACATTTAACATACTGTACTGTTCTTGCATTTTATCTGTTCCAACATGCTAGCAAACGTTAGGAAAAATAAATATCACGATACATAAAGCATATCGTGGATAATGGAATAAAACAAATCAAATTAAAGATGCACAATAAAATCATAAACATATCGATATCAGCAAATATGCTTACAAAAAAAATGGCGTCAGACAGATGTATAGATTTGATGGATATTTGATGAAGTATTTATTGTACTATTGTTGTATTATTAGATAAGCAGAACGTTCAGGCAACGCTTGGCTATGCACTGTATGAATTTTACTGGATTTATAACCCTCTACAAAAGTGGACGTTTTTATTCTCTGCAATGCTAATCCAGGTAGATGTAGTCAGTTTCTACATTTTATAAATCTTTATGTATCACCCTTGGCAGACATGTATATGGAAGATATCAGAATTATCCCACAATGCCCAGATCAGTGCATCCACGGATGTTATACTGTTGCCACCCTTATCTCAGAGGTGAAATGTCAAGTTGCACAGACTCTTCAGTATGCCATGGGGTTTTTCACCTCCACCCCAACAACAGAAGGAATATAAATAAATAACAGAAAGAAAAAAAATGTGAAAACCATATTACTGCAATACTTTGCTGCAATGCAGTGGCTTCAGATTCTTCACTGCTTCCCCAATGAGGTGGAGAGGAGTAGAGTGGAGTGAGTGAGTGCCGGCGTTCCACACTCTCCGGCGCATTTAGAAGCAGGTTTGCTGCTGAATCTCTTTATGCTCTGCCACTGTATCACCATTCTGTCTCAGCTGCAGCTTCCTGTTCTGTCATGCTGTGGTCACAATGCTGCAACTGCTTTTGCTCACAGAGGCGCTTCTGCGTGTTGCAGGCGTGCTTTCTTTGCCTTACATGGTATCTGTTTTAATCAAGCAAACGCACACTCAAAACAAAACTAAATCACTTTCAAGTAGGAGTTTTGTTCACAGGATGCGCGGGGCACCACTGAGGTGAATTTCGGAAGAAAGCAGCTTACTGTTAACCTTTTACAATACTTGTGACAGGACTAAAGAAAGGAACTACAAAAAATGTTTTTTTCTGAAAGCTTTTAAAATATCAAATATGATGTGAAATCAATAACTTTGTTGTTATTATTATTACCATTACTACTATCACTAGTAGCAGTAGAATCATTAAGTAGCCAACAGGCAGAAAGAAGAACTGAAGGGGAAGTTTTGTCTATGTGAGCAAATCTACTTTACTGCACTAAGACGTAATGCTAACTGAATTACAGTCAGTGCCAGAGGACGTTCAAGAGGCACTGCTATGGTGACTGGCTGGTATTCAAGTCTTCAAACGAAGAATCCAATGAGCAAAACACCTCATAAATCTACATGCTTCAAAAAAGGTCTCTCAGCTGGTCCAGCACAAGTCACAAACAGATGTGGTGACTACTAAGCATGAACATGTGTAAAGAAAAGGGTGCACCACCAAATGAACTCAAGCTGTGGCGTTAAAAAAAACCCTGAATACTCAGGTAACCAACGCAGATATGTGCATAACTACGGCAGGCTGTAACCAGAGCTGATACTTCAGCCAAATCTTGGCCCATCATCTCAGCTTCTCCAAAACATTGAGGAGAGGGTGGGGGTGCTGGAGCAGAGCCAGGCAGGAACTACGAGCACATTGCACCATTTTTCCGTCCAGGGCCTTCGCATTCCCATAAAAGCAGAAAACCCTGTTCTGCCAACAGCGAGTTTTGGCAGGTCAGCACCTCAGGGTGCGTTTTCTGAGCTGAGGGGTCTAGGGGGACATGGAGATGCAACAGAGGAAGAAGGCCAGGGAGAAAGGCGAAAACACAATAAGACAGAAAGACACTGCTTTCATAACAACCTGACGTATTCCTGGTATGCGAAAACACCTCTGGCTAATAAAGCCTGATTGTGACCATACAGAATCCTGAAAATGCTACATACTAAATGCTCAATGTTCCTGCTTGTAACCACGTCTCTTGAGACTGACCCACAGCAGAGCGTAAAACAGCTGGCAGCCTGGCACTGCTAAGGGATTGGGAGGGAGCAGAGAGAGAGGAGAGGAAACATGCCCAGAATAAAAAAGAACCTGCTGGGAGCTCTAATAAAAGACCTCCTGAACAACACAGCTGAATAAGTTGTTCCTCAAACCGCAAGCAAAATGAGGGCAAGACTACTTGCACATTCTAAACTCAGCGCTGGCAGGTCGATGTATTGATCTGACTAACTCACTTTTGAGTAACTGAAGCCTGGAAGAGATATTTAAGCTGAAGATGCAGGTCCTTCTGTACTGTGGCTCATATGCCTGGCTGAGAACAGACGCAGTTCGGTCACACTATTCATTCACAAAGCCTTCAGAGACCCTCACTAAGCCACCAGTCAAACTATAAACATAAGATTCAAAGTTTGGCAGCTGCCTCAGCTTGGCCAACACAAACAAGGCCATTTCACATCTGCCCTGCTATTAAACCGAGCGTGACATTGAACAAATGCTTGCGTCGCTTTTGGTTTAAGCCCTGTTAAAACGCATAGAAACAGAGGGCATGCAAGTGGAGCGTCAATCAAGAAACATTATCAGGAAATATGAGTGGGACGGCTGGTGACACTGATGACTATTGTATTATGATGAAAATTCATCTTTCAATAAAAAGAACCAATCACATAGTAGTTGCTTAAGAAATGTACGTTACTTGTTGGTTTTCTATTTGTTACTGTCGAATTTAACCTATAACATAAAATATCCTTTTAAGAGTTTAAGCTAGGCTTTCAGTTTCGGTTTTATTTTTCTCTCTGTTCCCAATTCAAGCAGACAGGAGCAGATCTTGTATAACTAGAAATAACTGCCTGAAGGTAGTGCCAAAATTGCTGACAAGAGAACAGACTTACCTAAAAAAAACTTTGGTCTGGGCTGTTTCACTCCAGCCAGCCTGAGAGAGCTGTCACATACAGTTTGCCCTCTTGATTGAGGAGCAAACATGAACTTCACATTAGACCCCTCAACACCTCCGCTTACCTGTGGTAAACCCTAACTTGTCAATGGAAGATCATCATTAACGGACAAAAAGTCAGCAATAAAGGTTGCAAAACATGACATTAAGCATGTTTCTAAGCAACAATTACCCCAAAAAGATTACTGAATGCAGGATTACTGTTAATGAGGCTTGTAAGGGTGAAAGTAATGGGACATACTGCAAGAGGACACACCGCAACACAAGACAACTCCTCTGACGAGCCTAATCAGTATCCTCAAGAGATGCAATTATCCTTGCCAAGTACTGTGGGGATTCGTCTCCCCATATCTGAATGCAGGGTATCAGTTTTGTGCCAACGCCTCCGTCACTCTGGCTTGCTCGTCACACCTGATACTCTGGGAGAACAATGCTGCGTGTATGTAAGTTGAATAGAACAAAACAGAAGTGGCTGCAAATTATATGCCAGGCAGTATACAGCCCCCTGAAGACGTTACATAAAAAGCACAGCTACAAGATCGATGTCAGGGATGAGCCAGCGGTCCTTTTTTATTTACTTTTCTTTTTTAATTTTATCAAATCATTACATGTTAATTGTCTTTCAAGCATTCTGTCATGCGGCACAGCTGGGCAAAAACAGAAAAATCCAGTTCAAGCCAAATTAATACAAGTATAAACTGAATCCAAGCCAAGCCAAGCCAAGTCAAGTTAATCTAGTATAGTACCAGGTATCAGTATACTCTGCTCCAGTCCCAAAATGTGTAACTGAACGTTTGGGAGACCTTGATGGTGGGTGTGTGTGTGTGGGTATATATTTCGACTATTTCTCAATAGCTACTTGTCAAAAACACAAAACTAGTTAACCACACTTAAATTACCATCGCAAATAGCCAATTTGCCAAAAGTGGAATTTGGGCTACAGCATTTCAGTTCTGCCTGC